GTCACTCAGCCGGCGAAGGAGAGGCTCCAACGCCAAAGCATAAAGTAGGGGCGACCTAGACAGCACAAAAGCGCCTGACAGCTTTCTGTTCACCTGTACCACAGCACTGGGAGAGCGATACAGGAGGCTAATCCAGCGGCAGAAGTCGGGTGCAAATCCGGCGGCCTGCAGGACAGTAGCAAGGTAGCGATGGTCAACCCTATCAAATGCCTTGGACTGATCCAAATTGATCAGCGCGGCTCTCTCGTCATCTTTTACACCCTCTATGATCGTGCGGATCAAATGCAGGTTGCTCTGAATTATTCGACCCCTCACAGCACAGGTCTGCTCAGGACCCAACAGAGACTCGGCAATTGACTGCAAGCGCTCCTGCTGGATCTTGGCCATAATCTTTAACTCTGTGTTTAGCAAAGTTATGGGCCTGTAGTCGTCTAGTTTCCCCCCGACACCCCTGCCCTTTTTCAACAGCATGATCACACCCCTGGAGAACCGGTCGGGGAGGGACCCCTGCCGGAACCAGTTGTTGAACACGACCATCAAAATTGGGACCATGAATTTAGTGTGAAGTCACTGTCTTGTGATAAGGGATACCAGCAAGAGAATTGGTTAAGCTAACAGTAAAGTCTCTATAATAAAATACGTCGAGGTTAGCTAAAGGGAACTATGGGCTAAAAATGTCTAGCAGTATATTACAACTAGGTTTGTAATATAACTTAAGTAAAAAGGGAACTTGCTAGTCTCTACCACAGGTTAACAGTGTATAGGGAGCACAAACGAGAGGTCAAGGTCGAGATGACATGTTCCTCTGCCGGTTTAAGGATCGAAGGAGGAGGTAACTCCGACAATACCTCCCCCCCCACACAAAATAAAACTTAAGTGCTTTTTTTAAACCTGGTGGAAGAAACATGAATAAAAATTAAAGGATGCAGGATTTTAATTTAGGTAGTTATATTATTTATCTCTAAATTTGAAAAACATTAGGATCTGACTTAATTTTTATAGAAAAATCTTGAATGAACTATTAAAAAATATGTGTTGTTTTCTGCTTATCATAAACTAAATACAATGGAGAATTTTAAAAAATATGATGAACAAACACTAAAAATTTAGTCACAATGTGAATCAGGTAATTGTAAAGTAAAATTTTTGATAATGGTTTGAAAAACTTTTGATTGCATTGTGAATGTGTTAATATTCTTTAGATATGAAATGAATTTATAGAGCACAAGACTTAAAATCTGATAAAAGTTATTTTGACCATGAATATTAATAAGTTGCTTTGACCATGAATATTAATAAGTTACACTGTCCATGAATATTAATAAGAATATTTTCAAATAAAATAATTCAAAGTGATTTAACCAAATTTTTTAAATAAAAATAAGTGATTTTTATAAAAATTATACTGTAAGGAAACTGACTACAATTTTGATATAAAAAATGCTACTCTGATCAAAGGAGAAAACAATTCGCTATAACGAAAATGTCTAGAGAGTACCTTGATCACAAGTTCATCTACAGTAAATTTGTACCCTGGCTCTTACAACATTTCACCATTACTAGAAGAACTTCTATTATCATAGTGTGGGATATCTACTAACAAAACTGATGGAAAGAAAAAGAATCTAAATGAAATTGGTTAAATAAAAAAAAAATTTAAATTTAAAATTCCCAGCATCCCTCATTCCTTTGTATATGAAGTCACACCAACAGTCCGATGATGTCCTAAAGGACAAAATGTGTCCCAAAAACCTTTTTCTATTTTTTTTTTCCCCCATTAAAAATTGTAGTAAAATTTAATTAATTTATCTTTTTTTTTATTTATTAATGTTTAAAACTTTAATATTAAAAAATAGATGTATTAATTTATTTCCTAAAGCTTTTAATGGTATTTTTATTATGCTACTAATATAAATGATAACAAAGTTAAAAAAAAAATTTTTCAGGCAGTTTAAAATTTTTTCAGTACAATTAAAAGTTGCTTTTCAGGACAGTTCCAGAATAATGGTGAAAAGAGTTAATTTGTTTGCAATTTCAGGGTTACAGACTAAGTTCTTAAATGAAAGCAATAATTTACAGTTTTACTCTTGTTAATAATTATATGATTATTAATTTGTTCTTTGAAGAAATGTTAGTATCTTTTCACCTAGTTACAAGCAGCAATGTAAGACATTAAATAACAGCTGTCTCCATTTATCAAGTTTAAGACATTATTTATTTTATTACCACCATCAACATCTGGACTAGCGAAAATTTCAAACATGTTTACAATTAAGATTCAGCCATTATCTCATGTCTTTGTTCTTCACACAATTTTTGTCTTCTCATTCTCTTTCAATTTTCATTGCTTGGTGGTATTTATATCAAAATGTTTTACAGACATTGATTAGATTCACATATGAATAAGGAATGCACAAATATTTTATACTGCATCCTTTTGTTTTATGTTTATTTTGCTGTATATATCCATAAAGAACTTTAATGTATGACAATTTTCATTCCTTTCTATTCCAACTTTTCAATCTTTTTCTTATTCTCTCTAGATACCCAGTCAGCAAGCTTGTCTTTCTTTCATCTCCATCACTTCTCCCTCTCCCTTATATTATTCATTTCTTTCATCTTCATCATTCCCCCTCTCTCTTATATTATTCATTTCTTCCTCTTTTTCTATTACTGCTTGTCTTTCAATCTTTTACTTATTCTCCCTTAATATTCAATCAGTAAAATTATCCATCAATCTTTCGTCTCCCTTTCTTCTCCCTCCCTCTATTTATACACTTGTAATTTCTTTCACTTAGATTTCTTTTTGTTTTTCTCTATTTTTTCTACATCCAACCCTTTCTCCTTCATTCACTCTTTTACCCACCTCTTGCTTTTTCAAATTCCTTCCTGATTTATATTATTTTGTATGCTTCTTATCCAGAAAGCATAACAAATTTGATTTCAGAAGAGCCAGGATTCAGGCAGGTAGAAAAGTATGATGCTCATATATATATATATATATATATATATATATATATATATATATATATATATATATATATATACACAAACATGTTGATTCATCATCACCAGCCATTGTTAGTTTGCTACTGGACAAAGGCCTTCCATGTCAACTGTGACTGAATTATTTTCTGATGTGTCTTACCAGAAAACCACATCATCTCATCTGCTTATATTCTGTTTTTTTTTTTTCTTCTGTCTTGGTACCAGTCAACCAACCTTTTGCTCTATCTTTTATCCTTTCTTGTTGCTATCAATCCCACTCACCTCCATTTTTGTCATTTAATCATTTTTATGTATTGTGTTCTGATCCATGTTGACATATTCCTCTCACTTAGAGTTGTTCCTACCATTGCTAATTCTTTATGCTTCTCTGAGTTTGTTTTCAAGCAAGTTTGTCAATTCGCACTGATATGTCATAGCTGACATTATATATTCATTATACACTTTACATTTTTAATCATACTGACAAGGTACCTTTTCATTGTAAAAGCTTTCCCATCAATGATGATGCATTGTTTTATTTCATTTTTATGGGCTTTTTTTTTTAATCATTTCAACCCAAGCAAGGTAAAAGTGACTAATACACAAGGGATCACTGAGTGTGAGAGAATATGAGAAAAAATCATTAAGAAAGAAAACAATAAAAGAACAAGAATCAAAAAGACAGATAATAATGATTGACATTACATTTAAATTTTAGAAGATCAAACTTGACTGGAAAGCAAGAATCTGGAAGAGAGTGCCACAAGTGAGAAGTGTGAGGGAAGAAACTGTTAGCATAGAACCTACATTTACATCTAACCATTTCATCTTTAAAATGATGAGACCTTGCCGCACATCTAGTACTGTGCTCAAATTCATAAAATCTATGAGAGTTCATCAGAAAAATTACACTGAAAATATTTATAGGAAAAGGCACATAGAAACTACATTACAGCAGTGGGATCAATAATATTGCAGATTCTTCTTTGTATTTTATCTAGAATCTCTAAATATATAGCAGAAGCACCAGACCATATGTGGCAGCAGTATTCAATGCATGGATGAATGGTAGACTTCTAAAGGTGTAAGATAGATTCTGGCAAGAAAAATTGTCTAGCACAATGACTTCCTTTAATGTTACCAGCTCCCCGATGTAGATGTATTCCTGGATTTCTGCTTCTTTGCTCTCTAATGTTCAAGTATTTTTTAGAACATTACAAGTGACCATTGCTTTTGTTTTATTTCTGTGGGTTTGTTAACCTAACTTTAAGCTTACGGCCATTCAGTATTTCTTGTAATTCAACCAATGATTCTGTCATTTGTAAAATGTTAACAAATTCTGACAAGTTTGGATATTCTTTGTTTATATTCACTCCTATTCCTTCCAAGTTCATTTTCCAGAAGATACTTTCAAGACATTCTGTAAATACTTTAGGCAAAACTAGGTCTCCTTTTCCCACTTCTTTTCCATTCTTTATCTGAATCTTTGTGTAGTTAAATTATTGCATCACTGTTTTTATTTTGTTTTTTAATCATTTCACCCCAAGAAAGGTGACAGAGCCACTAAGACACAAGGGGTTGCTGAGAGGGAAAGAAACTGAGGAAATGTTATTGAGGAGAAAGGACAACAAAAGAACAGGATTGAAATTGCATTTAAGTTTTTGAAGATCATAGTTGACAAACTTTGATGTATAAATTATATACAAGCATCAGTAAAATAATAGCTTATTTAATGTTATTTTTTTTATTAAATATTGCTTCTTGTAACATGATTATAACTTATACTAGAGCTGTTTAGCAACTATTTTAGGAGTTTCTTCAAACAATTTTCCCTTTTGTACAAACTTATTTTCAATATCATAATCACCTTTTTTCAAATCCAGTTAAACAACCTTTATGATTGTCTTTATGACTTGCATTAAACATGATTAAATACAAAATGAATTTATTTTTGTATATTTTTTATTCTTGATGGGAAATGAAAAATTAATACTTTTTTCATGTCATTTCAGAATTGGCCTTTCTCAACTAGAACTTCTTCGCTCTGATTTGATTAATGTCATCAAAATGAATGAAAAACCAAAGGTAACTTATTAAAAAAAAATATACAAACAAGTATATACAAAAGTCAGTATGTAAAGGTAATGTTAGGTGACACCACTGTATTGTGATGTCATAGAAATGCCCAGATCTATATTACTTGTGATGTCATAGAAATTCCCAGATCTATATTACTTGTGTTGACATCAGGTGGATGGGATATTCCATTTTTAAAATTGTGTGACATTTGACATCCCTTGACCTAAGGTATCACATATGTACAAAGAATACTTGATAGAAGGCATTACTGACCACCATGGATACTGTGGCCAGCACAATGGCTGACTACTGGTCCTTAATGATCATAACCAGAGACAGTTTTCTAGAATTGTCTGAGGTAACAGGCAAGTGACACTGACCAAAATCAATACAGGAGGTATCAGATTCATTAGAAGCAGACCAGTTCAGCATTCTTAGCTTTCATGGAATATGGGAGCAGAAAACCAACCTGTTGACACTGACACTGGACACAGTGCCTCACCTTGTGAAGACTGGCTATTTATGATTCCAGTTATTTTGTGTTGATGGTAGGGTTCAGGTATAGCTCAGTCCCCATGAAACCATGGACATCAATTGTCAACAAGGTACCATGCAGGTGGGTGATGGTTTCACAATGGTGTACGAGACTGTTCACAATGACATGTGTTGTATCTGCTGGTCTGAGAATGTCATTAACTGGAGATTGTTAGATTACACTGTTTCATGACTATTCTCACCCATTTATGAGATCAATGTACCTCTAACAATGATGGGTTATTTTAGCACTGTGTCATCAGGCCCAAGTTGTCCAGAATTGGTTTGAGGATTATTCTGGGAATTTCTGACCAATGATTTCCCCAGCATTAGCCCAGTTGATCATTTATGGGTCTGGGTGAAGAGGTCAATTTGCGCACAAGAACCTGCACCTACAATTATCAAAACTGTGAACAGCTATGGCTGAACATCTCTCTTGAGGTCTTCTGATCTTTTGTAGAAGCATTGCCACATCAACTTGCTACATTTCACCAGGGTAGTTCTAAATGATACAAATCACCTTTTGTCATATCAGTGTATACTTTAACTTTGAAAGTCAGAAAATTTATTGGCAATTTTTTCACCTCAAGTATTGATAATTACTGTTGCCTTCTTAAATATTTCATACTCAAAACCCTCTTTGATTTTTTATTTGCTCTGAAACTTAAGAATTGTTTATAAAAGGCACAACCTTGAATAATTTCATTTTCTGCAAAAATTATGATTGCATGTGGAAAAATTCTGAGGTAACCATCACAAAATTTTCATAAATCCTTCAGGTTGTTCTAAATAAAGTTTTTTCCTTGGTGCATTTGGATTAGATCTTCTTCAAACTCTGCAGCTCTTTAGCCAAATCTTACTTTAGCTTTTTAAAATTGCATGGCCCTTTTGTCAAACTCATTTGACTGGTGTAAATTGTATCCCTGCAAGCAGCACAATTGATACAATGTTACTTTGCAATATGTGTTAAGAGATTTCAGTTGATGAATCCTTTGGGTTCTGACCAAATTGATGCAAAATCTGAATATGTGATGTTAGCTCAATTCAATTGATATATTTCAAAAACTTGAAAATCAAGTATTACAAGTTGATTTTATATGAAAGTAAATTGATTTCTCTTTCAAATGATATCAAATTTAGCTTCCGTTGTATTATTACTGGTTATGAGATATGGTTTTGTAACTAATTACACTATTTACATTGTTTGGACTGTTGTCCTCATCTTTATTGCTCTATTCACAACATGTCGGCTGTTATACACTCTGATCGTCTTCAGGTGATATACATTAGAATTTCAAACCAAACACTTTGTTTAGTCCATGGGATAGATTGTTCTGATTCATTATACCATGTCTTTTTTTTTTTTTTGGATATCACAGTATCAGTTAATATCACCTGAAGAAGGTTAGAGTGTACAACAGCCGAAACATCATGAATATAGCAATAAAGATGAAGACAATAGTCTGAATGATATAAATAGTTACAACACCTCATTTCAGAAATATAGACAGATATGGTTTTGTAAATCTAAAACCTTGTAATAATTTTAGATTTCTAAAAAGTTATAGATTTTGAGTGCCTCTAGTTGATCATGTGATGGGTGTTAATGGTGTGTATTGAAATACAGTGCTACCCGATTGTAATTTCAGGCACATTCAGGTGCTTCTGGAGTGTAAGCTTGTGAAACTTGTGGGTACATTAATGCACTTCCTGCCTGAAAGTGTTAAGCCACATTTTGCTGATAAATTCATTTGTTTTCCCCACACCTTGTTTTTTTTTGTTTTTGTAACAACATAAAGATTTGTTTATTGTACATCTTTCTATTTTCTTTTTCTCTTTCAGTGGAAAATTATTAGACAAAGTATGATGTGTTGTTTATCAGATAATCCAGATCCTGTACTAGAAGGAGAAATAGAACGTAATGTTAGATTGCATCCTATAGATAGTGGCATTGGTTTATCAGCTCATAAACCACTGTTCTTACCTGGAAAAATTATCCATATTGTACGCAGTCATCCAGTTATCAAAAAGTAAGTTTCCATTTATTTAAATTACTTCTTTATATTTGATATAATAGTTTTTTTTAATTATATTTAACCATTGTGCTTTCCAAAAAATGGTGTGTCAAAAAGATGGTTATTCCCTTGTTACCAGTATTACTGTATACACTTTTGACTCCCTCAGCAATATTTATTTACAAGATTATAAAAATATGTGCACTAAATGTAATGTGATATTTATTAATTGTTTTTTATAAAGATTTATTATTTACCATTTTATAAAGAAACAAATTTGAAAAGAAATCTTTTTATTCAAAAATTTTAAAAAAATTACAAAATATATAAATCAACTACAATGCAATATTTATTATTTACCATTTTATAAAAACAAATTTTTTATTCAATCTAATAAATAAATAGTGTTTAATGTCTTTGTTGTTGATTGTCAAGAATAAAGAAAATGTATAAATCCACTTTCATATGTTTGGGTTTCATTAAAATTCTAATCAATAATCCTTGTGAAGGGAGTTAAAAATCTATACAATAATAGTGGTGTCAAAGGAATAACTATCCTTTTGATATACTGTTTTTTTGTGGACATGAAGGTTAAATGTTGTTTTTTTTACTTTGTTTTTTGTTTACTTGAAACTTATAAAACTTCAATTGATCATATTGTTTGAATCATAAGAGATGCTATTAGTGTTTCTCAAACAAATATAATTGTATGCTTGTAATTGTGTGTGCTTCATAGATTTTTGAAACAAATGTATTCATTGTTTTTATGATAGTATTTTGACAATTGTCTTTTCTTCATTAAGTGTTCTGTTTTAATTCTGTTTTTATAATCAGGTCTTTTATTATCTTTCCATATATTTTTATGGGAATGCAATATTGAAGTTGTCTAGAACAATCTTTCACAATTTTCATGTACTTTGAATTTCATATTTATTGACATGTAGCATCTACAGTTATCCTTTGAATTAGAAACTTAAAATCTCTATACAATGACTCGATTCTCTTATTGTCCTCTCAGACAAAAAATAATGCATTTTGGGAGTGATTGTAACTCCAGAAATTAAACAATTTTCTATTAATTGAGGCATGAGCTCCTACTCAAAGTAATTACTAAATGCTTACCTAATGCATATGTTGGCATTGGTAATAATAAACCTTTCAAACCAATAAATACTATAATCTATAATTTTTTCTTCATAAAGACTGCTTCTTTCTTGAACAGACTGCAACAAGAATGTTTTCCGAATCACAACAATCTTGACCTCTTTAAGTCTAGAGTCAGGCGTTATCTTTCCTGCATAGGTCCATAAAGTTCACTTTTTACCCTTTCTTACACTCATACAACACCATATGGAAAACTCCTACCTTGAGTGACACTTGGGCCGTGGGTGAATATTTGTGTATATATGTATATCTGACAATCCCAAAGAGCATGAAACCCAGGGTCACAAACTCACATCAATCCAAATATATATATATATATATATATATATATATATATATATATATGTATGTATATATATATATATATATATATACACACACACATACATATATAAGTACATGTATATATACACACACACATATATATATATACATGTATATATATATATATATACATATATATATACATGTGTGTATATATATATATATATATACACACATACATATATATACATATATATATATATACATGTGTATATATACACATATATATACATGTATATATATATATATATATACACATATATATATATACATGTATGTATATATATATATATACACATATATATATATATATTTATATATACCTCTTATATATATATATATATATATACCTCTTATATATATATATATATATATATATATATATATATACGCCTCTTTATTCTTGTTCTCAATCCTCTGTAGCTCCTTGCATGCTAGTGGCACTCTTGCCTTGCTTGGGGTGAATTGCTTTAAATATATATATATATATATATAATAATGCTCATTCCTTTTCCATATATTTTGAAAAAAAAAAAAAATTAAATTTATTATACATACATTATTTTTTAATCATTTCATCCCAAGCAAGACAATGAAATATTATAAATAAAATGTATTACTTACAATGGTCAATTACATTGATAGGTTAACAATATTTATAAAAGTAGTAAAGTTACTTTGACTTAAATATAAACATTTTGTTAATATTTAAGATATTATTTTGAAACTTAGTTTTTTTCTTGATGGGTATTTATACAATTACATTTAACCAATTTTCCCTGTGAAAATGACAATATATTTTTTGTACTAATAAAATGAATTTTATCAATCAAATCGTCAACCAAGTAATTGCAAAATAAATTACAATTGTAAAGATTTTTCTCTGCTTACTTTTGTATTTATAATGAGTCATTTAAAAATGAAAATATCAAAATGATCTTAAATAATTTACTTTAGTTTATAATTTGAATTTATTTTTTATTTAATTTGTAGGTCAAAATGCAAACCAAATGCTCCAGTTTACCAAGCCATTATTGCTGATAACAGTAATTTTGAACAAGTATTAGTATCCCCAACTATGATCAATGATCATTTTCCAGATAATGTATTGGATGCTCTACAAAAGGTAAGTTTTCATATAGAAAATCATAGGAAAAGAAATATAGATATGTTAATAAAAGTACTTTTTTTTTTATTTTCTCATCTCTCCAACTTAGTTGCTATTTTTCTTGTTTTCATCAGTATTTTTCCAAATTTCTTCAGGCTTCTATTTTCATATGTTGTGTGATCATTTAAGGCATACATGCTACTGTTGTATAGAAGTCATACAAGCACTGGGAAAGAAAACTATGTAAGCAAAATCAATCTACTACTATCTATATTGCTACTAAAGTACCTTGTTGTAAAGGGTATTAAATAGTTGGTCACTTATTTATTTATTTATTATACTTTGTCTTTCCCAGGTGGCTAAGCACCACTCCCTGCTGACAGAGAGCATTTAACTTTGAAGTGAAATAGGGTTAATTTGTTTGTGCCTCCTGAACCATGAAACTATCAATATGTTCATTCTCATTACTAGGAATGACTGGGGCCTTCTCTAGAATAGCTTTATGAAACATTTAAAAAATTCTACCTTGCAAAAAAATTGACGTCTCATAATTCATACTAAATGTTCATTTCTTAAATCATTTTCCTCTTTCTTAATTTTGTATTTCATTTTTAATATATGTCAATATACTTTTATATTTTTTAATTTATTTGAACTATTTTTCCTATCTTGATTATTATAGCTGTTATTATAGTCAAAATTATAGATTTTATCATATAGATGTTATTGTATGTTGTAACCTAGGGAAGGTTACTGAATAGAATAATCACACAAAAGTTAGTAATGAACAATAATAGTTAGGACAAGAACCAGACATATAAGATTCACCAATGGTGTGTAGAAGAAGTAGTCAACTGCTAGAAGTGAGTCAAGTGAATTCTACAATGAATCTCCAACTGCAGACTAACATACAGTATTTACTACTGTATTTATGTGAATGGGGACATACCCATTATCATCCATAGGTATACTACAACATTATAGATTTTATTATAGACAATATTATCAAAAAGCGGTATAAACCTGCCATAATAACCAAATGTTGAAGTTATAGCTGTTATTATAGACAAATTTATAAATTTATAATAAATTATAAATTTTATTAAAGACAAAATTATAGATGTTATTATAGACAAGATTATCAAAAAGTTGTATAAATCCACCATAACAAATGTTAAAATCATCTGACATTGAATATAAAGGTCTCAAAATACACTACTGATGTCCTTTGGCATAGTGGATATAGAAGTTGGTTAAACATGTGTTACTGTCATTTATTAGTCTTGAGTTAAATCCTGCTTTAGCAAGAACAAACAATAACAGCTATCATAGGAACAAAAATAACAAAATAATACAATAAACAATAGATTTCCCATGTATTAATGAAACAATGGACACTTGATGATGGTCAGAGGGTACTTGGCTGAAACATTGTCTAATAACATCTAGATGAGAACAATAGTTTGAATAAATTAAAAAGTATATCCTCTTTCTTAGTTCATCTCTTTGATTGACTGTCCGTATTACAATTTTCATCTGTTCTTTCTTGTGGGTAGATATGAGGTTAAAATATTTTCACTTGTATAGAAGCATAGCTTTTTTATCAGAGTTAAAATAAGATAATTTTAAGAAACAAAATGTACTGTTTATAGAATTTGCTGACAAATCTAGCATTAAATTAAGAGCAGTGTTGGGTTAAATAAAAAACAAAACAAAACAAAACAAAAAAAACCCTCAGTACTCAAAGAGCAAATATGTGAAATTAATATGTCCTAAAAAGTAAACAGACAATCCCTCCTTTTAGTGTATTGGGATGGTGTTATGATAAACTATTAGCAATGAATTTTCTGTACCAAATAACAACTTGGTCAATCATTTCTTTTATAAGATCTTTTTTTAGGTTGTGACCTATGTTTTCTGATTTCAAATTTTCTGGTGTATTTTTTATGTCATTTTATTTTATAGCAACTAAACTGATGATATTGTTTATAATTTTGAGTCATTATCATTCATATATTCCTCATTATTTATTATAATTTTGAGTCATTATCATTCATATATTCCTCATTATTTATTATATTGTTCTCACTACATTTCAAGCAATTATTTCCATGTCCTTTTTATAAATGTGCTGTCCATAGGTAAAGTCTATTTTTCAGGTAATACAAGACATGGAACAGTAGCAAATAAAACATTTAAAATGTTAACATAAATGCTTGTAATGCAAATTATTCTAATTTCAATAATGCATGCAGTAAAGTTTATTCCATAATTAATATACAGATCTGTTGTCAGTTTTCATTCCTTGTCACCAAACCAAATTGTTTCAAATAATTGAACATTGTACTCAGTTCTCTGGTGAGTTCATGGAAGAACCAAATATCCAATTTTAGATTTCTTTCCAATTTGCTCAAGATTTTTTGTATAATTGAAAAAGATACATTGTGCCTTTTGACTAAATCTTCTCATGCTTTGATCTGCTTAAAAATATCATTGTCTAAATTGGTTGATCTTCCAGAGCAAGTCTTATCAGAAAGACCACAGCCTTTTTAAACTTACTTTAACCAGTGTTGGCATTCATGCACACTTGACATGAATGGTAATGGTAATATTAGCGATTTCCTTATAAAGAAATATTCAGCATTCATTAACTAAGCAGCAAGTGCTACTGTCAGTTGAAATTTATAAAATCTTTCTCTTAAAACAATTTTTAGGAAAAAAGGTTTCTGAAGTCCAGTGTCTGTTATTGCTCTTTCCCTGTATTGATGAGGGTTTCCTTCCTAACTTTTTGCTTGATGTAATGTGGAATGCCATCATCTTTATTATATCATTGTTTTCTCTTCGAGTTACATGTGCTATCCATTTTAGCTGTTTCTGCTGTTGGCAGTCCTCAAGTGAAGTTGTTTCTGTTATCTGGGACAGTTCTTTCTTTGTGATTTTGTAGCACCATTTCACAATGTTCAAACAAGTGTGGCCCCCACTAAGACCCATAGATTTCAATCACTCAAAGCCATTTTAACCATTGATCTGAGAAAGCGTTTGTATACAGCTGACAGTTTAGATATTTCTAATCAAGTTTTCTACCAGACATGGCGTCCATATGAATGTCTTGATCTGACAAGGCTGTTTAAGAACAATAGTCTTTAGTGTCTGCTGCATTGCTGTCTTCATGAAATTCATACAGCATGCAAAAAATATAATACTTGTGAAAGTTTTTCTCTTCCATGGACTTAAATGTCCTTATAAATGAATAGCTTGATAGAAGTGATGTTAAACTAAATCTATATCTTGCTTTCTATTTAACATTGATTTGTGATTAGTTGATTCTGGAGTTGCATATTTTAAATGCACTATTTTTCAGATACCCTAATATTTTGACTTAATTCATCTTAGAATTTTTTTTTTGCTTCAAAACAGCTTTTAATTATAAAGAGCACATGGCTGGCGATCACATACATTCCTCATTATCATTTATACAAGTAAATCCTTTCTGATGGCTAGTTAAGAGAGAAATAATTTTGTAATTATTATTAATTTTGATTAGTATTTACTTACATCTTAAGTTTTTGTTGTTTTCTTTTATCAGAGTTTTTAATCAGGTGATCTGTAGTGAGTAGATGATGAAGGATCAGTTATAAAGGATAAGCTCTATTGGAGATTGATGGACTAAGTAAACATTGCAAATCTATCATTCACCTGTCCATTGAATATTACTGCCATATCTAGTCTGGATTTCCTGCTATATATCTTGAGATTCTCAACAAAATCCAAAAAAGAGTCTACAATTTTATTGGTCCTGACCTGGCATCTCAGCTTCAGTCACTTTCCCACTGCCATGATGTAGCTTCTATGTGTCTTTTCTATAAATATTTTCATAGCAGTTGTTCTAATGAGCAGTCCTGCTTGGTACCTCCTTAAATTCATGCAGTTGCATGAATTTAAGCATACTGCTAGATTGACTACATTTTTGAATTAGCTAGATATAATTGTAAGTTCTGTTCTAATAGTTTCTTTTCTCACACTTTTTATCTCTTTTAATTTTTTATTTCCCTGCCACCTACAATCTTCAAAGATTTAAACACGACACCAATCACAGTCTTGTCTTCCTGAATTTTGTTCTTTTATTGTTTTTTCTCTTCACTAGTTTTCTGTCAACTATGAGCTTAAAAAATATAAATGTAATATCAATTGCCATCTGTTTTCTTGAATCCTGTACTTTCTTTTTCTTTATACTTGATCCTTCATCCTCACTGAATTCTTTTCATTCTCTTTCACACCTGGTAACCTCTGTGTGTCTTAATGGTATTATGGCCTTCCTTGGGGCGAAATGATTAAATAAATAAATAAATAGAAACAACTAAAAATTAAAATAAAATAAATGCAAGTCCAAGTTAATCATCATGAATAACAAAGTTTCAACTAATAAAAATAATTTCTTATTAGAAAAGAAATAATTTCTTAAAAAATAATTTCTTCTTAACTACTAATATTAAATATTAACTGCCTTGATAAGGAGTAACATATTAACAAAATTTCACTTTTAGTTTTTTCTCTTTTCCCCAATAATCAAAGTGATTGCTAAAATCTTAATACTATCTTTGTCCTATATCATTATATAAATACTATCCAATATCCAAATATATAAATACTATCTTTGCCCTATATCATTATATAAATACTATCCAATATCCAAATATATAAATACTGTCTTTATCCTATATATTTGCTACATTTAGTATAGGAGATGTGTATGCAAATGTAATAACTATAATGGGACAGAGGTAATATATTCTTTTTATATTCTGTCTCCCTTCAACTCATGGATGATTATGACTCTTCACAACCTCCTCTCTTTTGTAGCTCTTTGTAAGGTTTGTGTTTTTGCCATCACTACCTAACTGTAAATGTGTAAATGGATTGCAGAACAAAGGTTGGAAAATCTTTGTTCTGCAATCCATTTACACAAGGTCGTTAGGTAGGTTACTCACTGTTTTTCTCAGTCTCTCTTACTTTCAATATGTTCTGTAAGTGTTAAATTCTCCAAGCCCTCAATCCTCATTATGTGTCCAAGAAATTTTTCTGTATGCATCCTTTTTGTTTTCATTTTTCTTCCATGTTACTCACATTGTTCAGTCCATTGTATTCTCAGCATCCTTTTGTAGAACCCCATTTAATAGAATTTGTAAAAATATTTTCTTAGAATTATAATTATTGTTCACATTTTGGCAGGTTCTCATCAATGTGGCACCAGCAAAGCCTAACAGAAAACTGCCGGAGACTGAACATAACAGTAGACTTTGTGAAATGCCATCCCTCCCTGTTACTGATGTTTGTAGACATTCATGCAATTCCTGTGTCGAAAAAACCTTTTCTGCACAGACCATCCAATGCATTCGTACACCGTCTGATCCTGACCTGACATTAAATCCACCACCCTTGACCTGGGATCAAGTTGCTGAGCAAAATATTCGGAAACTTGAGTATATGAGAGGAATAAATGTACGTCCCCCACTGACAAGATGTATGCATCTTAATTTAACTGGTCAACCAATGGAAGCTCCTCTTGCCAGCCCAGAGCCTTCAATTTCAGAATCATCAAGTGCTGCCTCTTTAAAAGCTGGAGCTGCTGTAAATAGATACAGTTTCCATAAAGCAGTCCATGGATTTCAGGATCTCAAGTCAATACAACAATCGCCGATGCCCAAATTACGTACCGGTGCACTTTCTTGCTTCAGACAGGAGCAATCTCCAACCTCTGACCATTCTTCAGATGCTGAGAAGGATATCGCAACTATTTTCAATGAAGATAACATTAACAATAATAGCAGAAAAGTAAACGATAAAAAACGAGTTGCCATAAATGGCAGGGTCGCCCACTCACTGTACACTGAAAATGACCGAATTTGTGATAAACCCAACGGGCACCTATCATCGTGGGTGAAAGATGATACACAATGGAAACAAAAGAATATGGATGAAGTTTCAATTGAAACTTACAATAGGCTGAGTCGGAAAGAGTCTGAAAAAAATGATAGCAATTTTCATTTACCTCATAACAGGCTTGGAAGCTCTGATAGAACGAGATCTGTGGCATGTATGCCACTTCCATTACCCAAGCCTCTTTTTCAGCACTCGGGATCAGAAACAATTCTTCGAAATGTAACAGCAGCACATTTTATGCGCAGATCCACAGAACATATGGATTTGAAAAATCCCAAAGATGACTCTCATGTGTTTGAAAGCTCCAAGAAAATTGCTCCAGTTCCAAAACCTCCCAGACATATCCCTGTAAGATTGCCTTCAAGTCTCCCAAGAGTTTCAGTTCTTAGTTCGGCTGGTGAAGAATTTGAAAGGAGACATTCTTTTCCAAGACTTTGACACTGAATCTGTGTTTTTCTTTCTTAAAAAATGAAAAAGAAAAAATCTTAAAAAATGTTTGTGTGAATTTGCATGATGTTAAATTAATCTAGTTATCTATTCATGAAAATAATTGTCCAATTTTATTTTTTATTTAAGAAATTATTATAGTTTAATTTAGTTTAACTGTCACTCATGATATATCTATTACTATACCTACTGTCTTTCATTTAAAAGTAATTGGAGAGAATTGTGAATGAAAATCCAAGTAACAGATTTAGTGCACAAAAAAATTTTATTATAAAATCATAATTTTATTCATGAAAAAAAAAGAATTATTCTTTACATTTTTAGTAAAGAAATTGCTTATATGGATTATTCCACTTTGCTCTTGATTTTGCTTTTAGAATTCAAATATCTATATAAATATATATATCTATATATAAAGTTGGTATTTATAAAAGGTTAGGTTATCTATATCTAAATAATATTTTCATTACCTTGTTATAATTTTTACTTCAAGATTTTAACAGTTAGTAATAAAAATAATGTTATATATCAAATGAAAACGTTTATATACTGATATTTAAATAAGTATAGAAATATATTCTAATCTTTTTAAAACAATATTTTATAGTCCTCTCTTCCCACAAGAAAAAAAGTCTAGCCCAATGATATTCAAGAAGAGTTTTTTTTTTCTTTTAACCTTTTCTTTTTGTCTATTTTGTTTAATATGTCTTGTCCACTGGTAATGTTAAAACTGTTCAAGCCAATTAGTTAATGCAAAATTAACTGAATCATATTGGCAACTGTAATTTGGCATGTATTAGATGTGACACCCATTTCTTCCACATTGATATTCTGAAGCTATTATCTTTATATTTTTTGTTACAATATTGCAATATATTACAAATATTAGTATTAATACAAATTACAAATGTATTAATACAAATTACTCAAATCGGCTTCAGATGCCATATTGCATGTGCTTTTTCTATTTATTTATATATTTATTTTCAAATTAAATATTGTTTCTTAGACTTCGGTTTTATACATTTTTACTAATCATGCATAGGCATCTCAGTTATATCAAAGAAACTAAGAGATTAAAAAATTCAACTAAGCATGATTAAAAGTAAATGGTTCCTTTTTCAAGGAACCAAATTCTACATGATAAATGTTTATGTGCATATAAATATAAGGGTCACAAGGAAAGAAATAAAAAATAAAAAAACAAATTATGCACTCATGTCAAAGTATAAATTTGAATTTAATAACAACTGGGTAGATCGTTGTCAATGTCCAAATATCTAAGTGCTCGTTTTTTGTTTTTTTAATTTATTTTGGGCTAAAAATCATTATTTGAAATTTGAATTAACAGTTAACAGAGCAATTAAAGGGAGAGCACTTTTGACGACCATATTACAGGTAATTTGAATTGAGTGCTGAGAGCTTCGTAAAAATACATATAAAAAAAAAATAGAAGAAAAAAAAACAAAAAAAAAACAGAAGCAGCCCCAGTTTGAGACAAGCAACCCAAAACAAAGATGACATATTATGAGACAGTTGAGTAATTCTATTCCCCTTTCTCTTTATAAATGTATAATTGTGAATAAAAAACAATTTTTATTTTTCTATTTTGGACTTTATTGGTTCTTTACCTATCAGCAAAGCACCACATTCACATGCACATACCCTGAAAATCAGAGGAACAGGTTTTGTGTCAATGTGTTTCTGTGTGTGACTAAATATATTTATATATATATATGTATGTATCTGTGTGTCTGTGTGTGTGTGAGTGTGCATGCATACAATATGGCACCTGCAAATGATTGGAGAACTGAATATTGTAATGCAGTTTGCAAATTTGAGGGTGAGTTTCAATTGTCAAATTGTAGAAATAAATGTGGTGGTTTTGAACAAGTATCAAAATGTTTTGAAAAATTAAAATTTTTATCGTCTTGAACTGAAAGTTTTTTCTGCATGAACAATATGCGAAATTATTTATATTTACTCTACTTAGATGAATAAATATTAAATAAGGATTCAAATGATTGTGGATATTGAAGAATGAAAGCCTTTTCTTATTAGTAAATCACTACATTGAAATCATTTGTGAGTTCATTCTTGAAAAGCAACAAAAGCAATTAAGCTTAACTGAAATAAATTTATTTGCATTTTTTTAACATAATTTTAGAAAAAAATCATAAACCTTTTTTTTTTAATAAGTTTAAGGATGAAAGATAATTAATTCACATTAATCTGACATCCAAACAGGTTTTGTTAAATTCAACCAACAATGGCTCTTTGTTTAATTTTTCCTTATATTTTCCAGTTTCCAAATGAAATGTTTATCAGGATTTAAATTATGAATAATCTGCTCAAAGTTCATTTCTTTTTTTTCTCCTGTTCTGACTATCTCAGTCATTATCAAGAACCATTTATGTCAGTATGGTAAACAAAATTTCGACAAAATCCTGGTATTTTTACATTGCTGGAATTGGAATTGAAATCACTTTAACCATTACATATGATGCCACTTTAAACAGAAAACGTATCAAATATTTATAATTTTTTTTTCCTTCTTTTTTTTTTTGAAAAGTATAATAAAAAGAATTAAATTGACAGACCTTGTCAGTAGAATTTAACAAATCTTGTTTGAATGAATTCTTGCTACCTAAATTAATCTGTTAATAGATGCTAATGAAACTTGGTTTGGTGTAGTACAGTTTTACAGCAGCTAGTAACGATTGAATTCACCCCACTTAGCATTAGCTTTATGAGATAACTGTTGCTTTCAATACTCTGTTTTTTATAATCTATTTTATACAAATTTCCTCTAAATTTATAATCTATTTCTCCATCTCAATTGCCATGCTCCTTCAAGATGTAAGTGATTATGGATCTCCACACTTTCCATTCTCTTAATATCTGCAAACTGTGCATTTGCCATAGCTGTTCTTGAGAAAGATAGTGGAATAATTTTTCTATTGACTTTTCTACAGTTTTGAATTCAATGTTGTTCTTTTAGACTGGTTGCCAACCAAGGCAAAAGAGCTCAGTCTACAATGCTATTTAACTTATAGTTGGTAGAAAAGAAGTGGATTCATACCTTTCCTAAATGCATTAGTGTGAACTGAATACAAACTGTCCAAGCCGTAGTTTGAATTTGCTTGCACATTTCATTCTCCCTGCTAGGCCTCCCATGCTTTCAATAATCTATTACAGATTTATAAATTAGAGAAGTTGATATATATATATATATATATATATATATATATATATATATGATGTATCAATGAAGATTGTGTATATTTAAAACACTGCTACCAAACAAGAAGAAATGAATACCAATTGAAAAAGTAGTGAAATTTTATTAGCAAAGTACTATTTCTGAAGATTTACCATTGTGGCATACTTGGTTGATAAACTTGCTTGATTGGTCAACTTGCCTGGTCAGATACAATTTTAAGTGGCCATTTTAAAATAGGCAAGTGACCATCAGCCACGGGTATATGTTTGAAGTTGCCATAGCAATACGGGCAAGTAGCAGATGTTAAAAGGATACTTTTGGTTTTATTAGCTAATATTCAGAGTTACACATTTCCTACCGATATTTGCAACTATTTCCTATTTGGTACATTATTTTTATCAAGCGAATGGAAATTAAAATAAATGAAAGTGTTTTTTTTTTTTTTTAAATTCCTACATTTCGTTGGTACTTTGTGGATGATATTGAATTTTATTTTTTCAGAATTGTGTGTGAATATTGTGAGCCTACACTGTTTTCTTTTTTCAAACAAAAAGCAAACATTGGATTATGTTGGAAACAAGTAGTACATTGTTATTGTTGTAAAATGTAAATATATATTTATTTAAAAAAAATTCTAGTCTCTGTTGGAGCTAGAATCAAAGTGAACAAAGAAAATTTAAATTATTATTATTATTATCATTATTATTATTATTATCATTTACAATTGTTTAAATGCGGATGAATTTATTTTATTTTTTTAAATGCTCTGTAAATTTAAGCCTATGTAAAAAAAAATTATAAAATTGCAACTGGTGTTTTTTGTTTTTTTTCTCCTTTTTTACATTAATCTGCAATTCAATAATATTTGTTATAAACGGAAACTAAATCATCAAATGAATTATGTTTTTTCTTATATTTTCTATGATTGGTTATTTTCTTTTATAACTTTTGAATGGTTCCATAATCAAGTGCTTGCTGGGATAATTTAATTCATTATATACAGGGTCAAGTCATGTACTCTTTATTAAAGGTTATGGTTAGTCTTTAGATAATGCTATATTGAGGGAATGCCTTTTTAGCTTATATTAAACTTTTCACTCAACTTTAAAATAAAATCAGCACTGAAGTTAACAGTAAAAATTAATTTTAAATATGTTTTGATACTAAAAAAAGATAATGTGATTAATTTCAAGCAACATGTACACCAATATAAAAGCAGTTACAGCTGCATTTTTTTTCTTTTTGTTTTTAATTGAAAATTTTATAAAATTCTCCTTCTCTTTCATTGTTAACTTGAATTTTAATCTGTGTGATTGTGTAATCTGCAAATTGAAAAGTCAAATGTAAACAAAAATATTGGGAGGGTGGGGGTGAGGCATTTTCCTTAAATGAAGTTATCTAAAGAAACCATGAATGCTGATTGGGCCAATTTTTATCTTTTATGCACAGAGAAGTTTTTAATACTGTTTTTGACCCACAAACTTTTCAATTTTGTTCTGTTTGCCTTCTTAAGGCAAGTTCGTCATTGTTTAAATAAAAAAAATGCAATACAATTTGTTGATTTAACTGTTTTTAATTCCAAATTATGGAAACCGTGTATTGTTTATTCTATTTGTATTGGTTGCCCTTTACAAATAAAAATAAATAATGAATTTAAGAATTACTGCCATAATTTATATATAAATGTACTCTTTTCAGGAAAAAAAAATGCTAAACTAAAAAAGTGGCCAGAAATTTGGCATCAAATGTCATTGTAAGGTCAATGCAGCGAAATAAATATTTTCATGACACTGAATACAAAGATAAAACATTCCTGAATTAATTTAAAAAAAAAATTCATTTCACCCCCACCACCCCCAAGCAACTCAACAGAGACACTAACAACTCAGATGGGTTACTGAGTGTGAAAGAATATTAATAAAAAAAACATAAAGGAGAGTGAACAATAAAAGAAGAGAATTTAAGAGGACAGAAGATAACAATTGACATTGCATTCAAATTTTTGAAGATCAAACTTGAGTGGAAAGTAAGAAGTGTGATAGAAGAAACTGTTAGCATAAAACTTACAGTTACATCTGGCAGCCATTTCAACTGTAAAATGATGAGACCTTACTGCCAATCTAGTAATGCACTTACCCTTTACCATGCTGTATGTGATTACATTTGCTGTACAAAATGTTTCTGCTGTCACTGAAGGTGACTGTGATCTCTGAATTTGAATTTCATAGATGTGTTGTGTTACGACCCTCTCCGTCCTCTAACCAAATTGATAGAGCAGGATCGTAACCTGTATTATTATTTTTAATGTGTATGCAATTATTTTGAAAACTTTCTCAGTATAATGTATATCTCTCTTCATGTTTTAACATAACCTCTCTCCTCTCATGCCAAAGTTTACTTTCTTTTCTGGTTAAACCTTGTTAAAGTTGTTTGAACTCTGAAATCTTTTTGGATTTCTCTTCTGTGCTAAAGTGGAGAGTTCGTCAAAATAATTACCAT